CTGGTCGGGCGCTGGGGCCGCTCTGCAGAGAAGTGGCGCTACAAGCAGGGAGCAACCGCCGCCAGGGCCCACGCCTTCGACGCTGACTGGAGCGACGTCGTCAGGGCGGACGACTTGCCGGACAGCCTGAGGCAGGCCAGCGAGTTCAAGAAGTCCCACGACATGTTCGACGCGTCCTTCACTGACCCGGAGGCGCGGCACATCGTGGAGTCTTTACCTTGGCGGGGCCCCGCGAACATTCTTCGTCTCGAGGGCCCCGCTCTTTCGAATGTTCTGCGCCGCGCTCTCAGGGGCCAGGGGGCCTTCGGCCATCGCATCCTCGCCCTGGTTGACAACGCGGGGCTCGCCCTAGCAGTGGGCAAGGGCCGCTCGGCGGCCTTCCAGCTTCGGGACGTCCTTCGAGAGATAGCCGCTCTGTCCTTCGCCCGCCGCTTGCAGGCGAGCGTTCGCCCGGCCCCGTCGGAAAGGAATCCAGCGGACAACCCGCCCAGAGGCCTCTACTACATCAAGCAGCAGGGCGAGCCCGAGTCGGTCTCTGACAATGACCTTCGGCATCGCGCTGCTGATCCTGATCGCCCACTTCCAGCCGCCCCAGGCTTCCCAGCCCTCGGCGCGCTCAGCCCCGTATCAGACACGTGCCTTGGTGGCGGCCCGGGGAAGATGGACGGGGGGGCTGGCCGCCCCTTCGGCGGCGGCTGCGGCGGCGAGGCGAACCCGATGCCGGACATCATCGCGCAGTTCGGAGCTTCTCCCAGGCTCGCGCCAGTTGGCGCACCTCGAGGGCCGCTCGGTCGCGGACGCGACCCCGAAGGATTATTTCAAGAAGACGCGGGCGTTCCTGGAGTGGGCGGTGGAGTCGAAGCTGGAGCGGGCGACCGCCGCAGGCCTGGACGACGCGCTGGCCCCGTGCGTGGACAAGCTGTTCTTCATGGGCATGGCGGGGGGCGTGGCCAGCAAGACGTTGGCGGCGGTGAAGTTCTACTACCCCGAGGTCGGGCGCTACGGGGGTCAAAGCCTGCCGCGTTCTGCCCGGGCGCTAGCTGGCTGGGCCAAGGTGGTGCCCCGCAAGACTCTGCCGGTGCCCTACGCGCTGGCGCTCGCCATCGTCGGCCACCTCCTCTCGCGCGGCCTGATCGAGCACGCGCTGGCGGTGCTCCTGTCCTTCCACGGGCACCCCCGCCCGGGCGAGTGCGATTCTCTGACGGCGTTGCAGCTGGTGCCGCCTGTGGCTGCGGCGGGCCCCCAGTCTGCTCATTGCTCCTCGGGCCTGCGGAGCTCGAGAGGCCGACGAAGGTGGGCGCGTGGGACGAGAGCGTCGTCCTCGACGACCTCGGCTTCCCCCGCGCGTGCTTGCTCAAGCTGAACGAGAGGTGCCACCCGCTCAGCCAGAGGGCGTGGACCTTCCCGCCCGGCGACTTGACGGTGAAGCTGCAGGAGGCGGCCGAGGCGTTGGGGCTGTCGGCCATGGGCATCACCGTCTACGGCCTGCGGCACGGCGGCGCCTCGCACGACCTGCTGACGAAGAAGCGGAGCGCGCTGGAGGTCAAGGCTCGGGGCAGTTGGCGCAGCGACGCGATGCTCAAGCGGCGCGGGAAGGAGGCGAGGGCGCTGGCGGAGCTTCACAAGGCGCCGCAGGCTGTCGTCGAGCACGGCAGCAGGGTCGCGGAGCAGCTGGCCGGCATCTTCGAGGCCGGCGCGCCGCTCCCTCCAGCGCCGCCCCAGGCCCCCGCCCGCGCCTGAGTGACTGTGAGGTGAGAATTTGAATTCGTCTCCGCCGCATTTTGCGGCGCGCGCTGAAGTCAGCATCGGTTTGCAGGAAACAAGTTGTCTTGGAGCTCTTCGCTGGTGAGGCCGGGATTCCCGAGGTTTTGCCGCGATTTCGGTCGACATTGTGAAGCAGCCTTGGTTTGATCCGAACCGTAGCGTCATCCAGTCTACGCTCTTAGGCTGGATCACTAGTACTGTCGTCGCTGCTTTGTGGATGGGGACCCCGCGCTGCTCGCGGTCTCGGGCTCCACGGCCCCCCCGGCTCCAGTTGGCGCCGACTTCGCAGCGCGTCGCGCGTCTGGGGGCCCCCGAATCTGGACCCGAGGGCCTCGGCGGCCTGCAAGCGGGGAAACGCCCACCTCAGGTTTTGTTTGAGGGTCGTTCGGGCTTGCGTTCGTGTCCGGACCCCAGTGGCCATGGAGAACCCTGGGTCCAGTTGGTTGTGGAAAGCCCTCCCCTCTCGCGCGGTTGGCCGGTCGGGCCGACAGCCATAGCTGCGTCGTCGACTACTGCAGCTTCGGGGCCCGATGGCGGAAAAGGACTAGAGCACAGGTCTGGGCCCCGAGTTTCTCGATGCAGCTTCCCACTCTCTGTTAAGAAACCCCACATCGTCCTGACAGGAGTGGACCAGAACTCGGGCAAATTGTGGACCCGCGCTGCTGAGCCTTATCCCCTTCGGTTTTGTTCCAGTTTTGCCCGAGCTCTGAACCGATGCGTGGATTCGAACCGTCTCTGCCGACTTCGACAGGTGTGTAACTTAGAATGACTTAATGCGGCTGTTGCCAGAAGCCCATTCGAGGTGATTTGGGTCTTCTCTCTCTCTCTCTCTCTCTCCTCCTCGTTCGTGTGTGTGTGTGTGTTGTGTTGTGTCTCTGTGGTGCTGTGGTGTGTCAGTGTCGCTCTCTCGTCCCTCCTCCTTCGATCTTTTCAAGCCGAGCTCTGCCCGGGTGCCGCCCTGTCCTGCAGGACCCGCCTGGCCCGGGACACACAAAAAGAGTCTCCTGGCCAGGGTTAGCGTCACGATGGGGGGTTCTTGAACAGTAATCGTAGAGCGATGGAGGACCGCGCGGTCTGCAACCGCCACGGCTCCAGCCTTTTCTGTGCCCGCCCTCAGCCTCCCTTCTTCTCTTGCCCCTCCTGGAGCCCTTTTTGCGACCCCTTTGGGGGGGTCTCCAGGGGGCATTCCGTGTGGAAAAACATATAACATCCGCTGCCGAGTAGTACTAATCTTCGGCAGCGAAATTCGTTGGCTTTTACGCATGCCATTTTGCCACCAGCTGGCTCGTCCGAGCCTGCTGGAGGGGTATTCTTTCTTTCTCTCTCTCTCTCTCTCTCTTTCTCTCTCTCTCTCTCTCACTCTCTCTCTCTCTCTCTCTCCTCCTCGTTCGTGTGTGTGTGTGTTGTGTTGTGTCTCTGTGGTGCTGCTGTGCGTCTGTGTCGCTCGCTCGCCCCTCCTCCTTAGATCTTTTCAAGCCGAGCTCTGCCCGGGTGCCGCCCTGTCCTGCAGGACCCGCCTGGCCCGAGACACACAAAAAGAGTCTCCTGGCCAGGGTTAGCGTCACGATGATGATGATGATGATGATGATGATGATGATGATGATGATGATGATGATGATGATGATGATGATGATGATGATGATGGTGATGGTGATGGTGATGGTGATGGTGATGGTGATGGTGATGGTGATGGTGATGGTGATGGTGATGGTGATGGTGATGGTGATGGTGATGGTGGTGATGATGATGATGATGATGATGATGATGATGATGATGATGATGATGATGGTGACGGTGATGGTGATGGTGTGGATGATGGTGGATGGTGATGATGTGATGATGATGATGATGATGATGGTGATGGTTGATGGTGATGGATGATGATGATGATGATGATGATGATTGAAGGAGGAGGAGGAGGAGGAGGAGGAGGAGGAGGAGGAGGAGGAGGAGGGAGGAGGGGAGGAGGAGGAGGAGGGGGAGGGGGAGGGGGGAGGAGGAGGAGGAGGAGGAGGAGGGAGGAGGAGGAGGAGGAGGAGGAGGAGGAGGAGGAGGAGGAGGAGGAGGAGGAGCGGTGAGTCGTGCCCCAAATCGCCGACCTTCCTCGGCTGTCTGTGGCGCCCGGCTTCCCGCCGCAGCCGCCTTCCTCCTGGCCCCATGAGCGCTGCGCCCCGTCCCCCTCGTCGCCTCTCCTCCCCCTCGCCCTCCACCCCGCGCACGTGGGGCGTTCTGGAGCGGGCCGCGCCTCCGCGGGATCGAGACGTTGGCACCGCCCCTGGGCCGAGCCACGCGGGGAGTCCCACGGCCCTTGGTCGGAGCGTGCTGCTGCCGCTCTCCGGGCCCTGACCTCCGGAGCTCCCCGGGGATCCCCCCGGGGACCTTGCAGTACAGCCAACCCCGTGATGGTAAGGATGGGCAACCTTCCCAAGGGCACCCTTCGCCCAGCTTCGGGGCCCAGGGCCCTCATAGATCGATCCGGCTCGCGACATGATGCAGGAAGCTGGGGTCCAGGGCTCTGGTCGTGATTTTCCAGATGTTCAACGTTTTCGGGACGTCGGATCTCAGGGTCCCCGCGCTGCGCTTGGAAAAGTTCGCAGGCCGCTCGGAAAACAGAGAAAACTCGGGGAATCACCTCAACGGAGTTACAGTCAACCCGCATAGTAAGGATGGGCAACCTTCCCAAGGGTACCCTTGCATCATTGCCTCCTCGGTCCATCCTTGGCCACTGTCGTTGGCCGCGCCCCGCTCGAGAAACTCCGAAATGGGCGTCCAGGGCCTTTACATCCTTATCGCGCATCCTTCTGATACGGGCCGACTGTATAATACACCCATCTTGTAGTATATCGTTTCCCGAGCGGTGTGGCCAAGAACCGCCCGCCACGACGCACATACTTTAAGATTTCTCGGTGCGCGCGTCGCCCCTGGGGGGGGCAACGCACGCATAGTATTAGTATGCTGGGGTGACGCCCCTTCGAGGGTCCAGGGGCAAGACTTGGCACCCTGGCTCTCTGCACCAGGAGGCAAGCAATGACATCAGCATAACAACTCTGAGGTCCGCGCGGATGTCTCGGATCGGCGCTGGACCCCCCTCCTTGGCGTGCAGAGCGCGCAAGGGGTGGTGCCAGAGGCGCCGCCAGGGGGCCCCGCGCCGATCCGATGAATCCGCGCGTGCTTCCGAGTTCTTATGTTTCTGTCATTGCTTGTTCCCCTACTGCACCGCCCTCCTATCGCTGCAGGACCTCACCGAGCAGTGCGAGAGGCGCGCGAGCGACTGGGAGCTTCGCGCCCGCAACCCCGGCGCCTGCTTCCCAGACCTCCGACGGTAATCATCAGCGTTTTTCTTCACAGGCAATTGCTCGCCCTCAAATTCCTCGAGATCCTGGCGACTCATTTTTTTCTCGAGCCAGTCGTTTTCGCCCAGCTTCGGGGCCCAGGGCCCTCATAGATCGATCCGGCTCGCGACATGATGCAGGAAGCTGGGGTCCAGGGCTCTGGTCGTGATTTTCCAGATGTTGAACGTTTTCGTGACGTCGGATCTCAGAGTCCCCGCGCTGCGCTCGGAAAAGTTCGCAGGCCGCTCGGAAAACAGAGAAAACTCGGGGAATCACCTCCACGGGGTTACAGTCAACCCCGTGATGGTAAGGATGGGCAACCTTCCCAAGGGTACCCTTCGCCCAGTTTCGGGGCCCAGGGCCCTCATAGATCGATCCGGCTCGCGACATGATGCAGGAAGCTGGGGTCCATGGCTCTGGTCGTGATTTTCCCAGATGTTCAACTTGTTCGGGACGTTTGATCTCAGGGTCCCCGCGCTGCGCTCGGAAAAGTTCGTACACGTCGTTCATTCCTAATCGTGCTCATTTCTAATTGCGCTCGTTTCTAATTGTTCCTGGCCCCCTAGTGGCCAGGAAGAGGCCCAGGATAGAACATTTAGAAATGAAAGGATCTTGGCCCACTAAAAATCAAAGAACTTCCGAAAAATCAGAAATTAACCATGTGTAGGCCACTCGGAAAACAGAGAAAACTCGGGGACGCACCTCCAGGAGGTTGCTCGGACGCACCCCCTGTCGAGGACGGACGCCCTCCCGTCGTATCTCCCCGAGTTTGGCTTCGGGTTGTTGGTCGATTCGAGAACCCAGCAACGTCGGGGATTGTCGCAGGCCTAGAGGTTGACACCAACACCAATATCGGCGGTGTGCCTCCACCGAGGGAAGAAGATCCCGATCTCGGTAATGGTGGTAATAATTATGGCTTCCAAGGTGGCCGAAATATTGCCACCAACATCGAAATCTAGGATCATCTTCCCCATGTGGAGGCAGCCCCCTGAGTTGGTGTTGGTGCCCATTTCTGGGCCTCCACGATTGGGGTCACCATACCCCCCGTCGGTAAGGGTGGTATCTTTGCCTAGGTGGCTTCTGCATTTTCCTGCTTTATCGTCCCCTTCCACTGTCCCTCTCTCTCTCTCTCTCCCTCTCCCTCTCTCTCTCTCGTTCTCTCTCGAATCGGAATTCACTTAGATTCCAATTGGATTTCAATAGAAATGCGACAGTTCCGTATCAGGTGGATTCATATAGGAATCGAATTGGGTCCTAATAGGATTTCAATAGGAAGCGAGCAGATCCCAGATCCAGAGGATTTCTATTTGGATGTTAAGTAGATTCCAATTAGATTTCAGTAAAAAAAAGAAACGGATCCCGCATCCAGAGGATTCCTATTGTAATCTAAGTGGATTCTAATAGGATTTCAATGGGAGGAGGGCATCTCAGATCCAGAGGATTTCTATTTGGATTCTAAGTCGAGTCCAATTGGCTGTCAAGAAAAGAAGAGACGGATCCCGCATCCAGAGGGTTTCTATTGGAATCGAATCGGACTCTAATATGGTTTCAATAGAAAGAGAGCAGATCCCAGATCTGAGGATTTATTTTTGGATGTTGATTCGATTACAATCAGATTTCAAGAGAGATGGGGCGGACCCCGCATCTAGAGGATGGGTATTGGAATCGATTTGGGCTCAACTCTTTTCATTGAAAAATAAATATGAACGCAGTGTGTTCCAGCTTTTCTAAGTAAGCATCACTACAAATGTTGTGTTTCCACATGTTTATTCAACTATCCCGGCAACGCAACCTAACAGCGATGTGTACAAGCATATTTGGAAGCATTCCCCTCAAGATTCAGGTGAGAATCCAGTTGTAGAATTCTGCTGTTCTCGTAGTCGCAGTCGTATTCGCAATGACAGTCGCAGTGGCAACGGCCTTAGGATTCAATGAAATCCTAAGGATTCCTAAGGATTCCTGAGGATGCTTAACTATGCCTACGGATTCCTAAGGATGCCTACGGATTCCTAAGGATTCCTGTGGATTCCTAAGGATTCCTATGGATTCCTACGGATGCCTCAACCTGCCTCAGTTTCAGCCTCAGCCTCAGCCTGCCTCGGCTTGCCTCAGCCTCAGCCTCAGCCTGCCTCGGCCTCAGCCTCAGCCTGCCTCAGCCTCAGCCTCAGCCTGCCTCGGCGTCAGCCTGCGTCAGCCTCAGCCTGCCTCAGCCTCAGCCTCAGCCTGCCTCAGCCTCAGCCTCAGCCTCAGCCTCAGCCTCGGCCTCAGCTTCAGCCTGCCTCGGCTTGCCTCGGCCTCAGCCTCAGCCTGCCTCGGCCTCAGCCTGCCTCGGCCTCAGCATGCCTCAGCCTCCCCTCCTCCCCCCCCCCTTCCCCCCCATTCAGCCTCACCTTGTCTCAGCTTCGGCCTGCCTCGGCCTCAGCCTCAGCCTCAGTCTCAGCCTCAGCCTGTCTCGGCCTGAGCCTGCCTCGGCCTCAGCCTCAGCCTGCCTCAGCCTCAACCTGCCTCAGCCTCAGCCTCAGCCTGTCTCAGCCTCAGCCTGCCTCAGCATCAGCCTCAGCCTCAGCCTCAGCCTCAGCCTGCCTCGGCTTGCCTCGGCCTCAGCCTCAGCCTGCCTCGGCCTCAGCCTCAGCCTCAGCCTGCCTCAGCCTCAGCCTCAGCCTGCCTCAGCCTCAGCCTCAGCCTGCCTCAGCCTCAGCCTGCCTCGCCTCAGCCTCAGCCTGCCTCAGCCTCAGCCTCAGCCTCAGCCTGCCTCAGCCTCAGCCTGCCTCAGCCTCCTCAGCCTGCTTCGGCGTGCCTCAGCCTCAGCCTCAGCTTGCCTCGGCCTCAGCCTGCCTCGGCCTCAGCCTGCCTCAGCTCGGGCATTCAAAATATGGCACAGGACTGGTGTTCTGGGAACACGAAGATCACGAAGTTGCCCACAGTTGGCTCTGGGCAGTCAAAGTATGGTGCAGGAATGGTGTTCTGGGACGACGAAGAACACGAAGTGGCCTACAGTTGGCTCCGGGCATTCAAAATTAACCTGGGAATGGTGTCCTGGGAACACGAAGAACACGAAGTGGTTTACAGTTTGCTCTGGGCATTCAAAATGTGGCCTGGGAGTGGTGTTCTGGGAGGACGAAGAACACGAAGTGGCCTACAGTTGGCTCCGGGCATTGAAAATGTGGCCTGGGAATGGTGTTCTGGGAGCACGAAGAACACGAAGTGGCCTACAGTTGGCTCCGGGCATTCAAAATGTGGCCTGGGAGTGGTGTTCTGTTGGCTCCGGGCAGTCAAAATGTGGCTCCTGGCAATGAGAATGGGGAGTCCCCGGATTCCCGTGGCACCCGTCCAGCATTTGTCCGGCATCTGCCCAGACCCCCCTGGGGAGTCATGATGCTCTCTTTTGAGACCACTAGAAACTTATCAGTCTTCGCTGTCAGGAAAAAATCAATCAAAACGTTGTGTTTCCAGCTTTTTAATTAAACGTAAATAAAAACGATTTGTTTTACAGCCTCTCTTTTGGAGCTCAAATGAAAACGCTGTGCTTTCCAATCTGTTTATTTGACAATCAACAAGAACGATGTGCTTCCATATATTTCTTAAAAATAAGAACAAATAAAAACGTTGTGTGTTTCCATTTTTTATTAGATAGAAACGTGTGTGTGTGTTATATTTTTTTATTCCCCAAATCCAAAGTGGGGTTCTTGTTTTCTCTGGACACCCCGCGCAGGAACCTCCTCACCTCACCCCCTCTCCTCTTCTGTCTTCGTCCGCTCACTCACTCACGCACTAGCTCACTCACTCACTCACTCACTCACTGACTCATCAGCACTCAGTCACTCACACGCTCATGAACTCGCATATGATGATGATGAGTGTGCGCGTGAGAGAGTGTGATGATAATCATCATCACCAGTCAGTCAGTCAGTCACTCACTCACTCACTCACTCACTCACTCACTCACTCGCCTTGGGCCTCGTCTGTGAATGAATTGCGAGGAAGTCTCAAGCGGGAGCCCCTTCCCTACGGGGCCCGCGGATCATGTTACTAATCCGAGCGGGTCATCCAATTCTTATAATTGTCGCCACTTTTGGGCTCTCGCGCTGCCAGAACGCCACTCCCAGGCCACATGTGTGAGTGAATTGCGAGGAAGTCTCAAGCGGGAGCCCCCTCCCTATGGGGTCCGCGGATCATGTTACTAACCCGAGCGGGCAATCCAATTCTTCTAACTGTCGCCACTTTTGGGCTCTCGCGCTGCCAGAACGCCATTCCCAGGCCACATGTGTGAGTGAATTGCGAGGAAGTCTCAAGCGGGAACCCCCTCCCTATGGGGTCCGCGGATCATGTTACTAACCCGAGCGGGTCATCTAATTCTTCTAACTGTCGCCACTTTTGGGCTCTCGCGCTGCCAAAACGCCACTCCCAGGCCACATTTTGAATGCCCGGAGCCAGCTGTAGGCCACTTCGTGTTCTTCGTGCTCCCAGAACACCATTCCCGGGCCACTTTTTGAATGCCCGGGGCCATCTGTAGGCCACTTCGTGTTCTTCGTGTTCCCAGAAAACAACTCCCGGGCCATTTTCTGAATGTCCGGAGCCAAAACAGGAGGGCGAGATCGGGGGCAACGTAGGGAGCGGGGGGAGGGCCCGCGCCAGGGCGAGAAGAAATATACGCAGAAGAGACAGCCAGGACGCCTCACCAACCACGAGGACGACGGTGAGGGCTTCTTCCAGATTCGCCCAGAGGGTTCTCATGCGGGGTCCTTCCGTCGCAGTTTTTTTTTTTTTTTTTTTTTTTTTTTTTTTTTTTTTTTTTTTTTTTTTTTTTTTTTTTTTTTTTTTTTTTAAAAAAAAAAAAAAAAAAAAAAAAAAAAAAAAAAAAAAAAAAAAAAAAAAAAAAAAAAAAAAAAAAAAAAAAACGTTGCGTTCTCCAGTTTTTATACAGAATAGTTTTGCAGCGCTTC